AAATAGTTACCGACTTTATATTTATATAAACTAATTATAAAAAATATTAGGCGGATAATTAAGTCATTCAAAATCCCGGCCGAAGGTCGGAACTTTTTAGCAATTTTTATATTTCTACCGCAATTTTCATATTTCTCCCGCATAAAACTAAATATCTCCCGCAATTTGAAAATTTTGACCTGGCAACCCTCCTTTGAACAGAGCTCAAAATTTTAAGATCACCAAATACAGCGCTGATTATTCTAATTACATATTTGATCTGCTTTACTTTAACAACATATGGTGATTTGGCTTAAACCTTTTTTAAAGACGTTGGCCGTTTAATCTGGAAAAATTCTGGAGAATCTCGGAAAGGCTTTTAATTAAGGCAAAGGATCGCAATAGCTATTCTTAAGACTAATTGTATTTGTTTTATCAATTCGATCTCTCCCTATGATTAGAGGAAGAGGGTTTTAAATAATTGTGCTGGTTTAGCTTTTATTTATTTTGTATATTACATTATTATTTTATTTAGGCTCAATATGGTTTTTTTTATTATGATTTTTTTTTTTTTTCATAGTCAATGATATATCATTGTTCATAGTATATTAACTTTTTATGTTAATTGTAATTTCTTATTTACATAGGCATAGGCGTAGCCAGGATTTTCCTAAGGGGGAGGGGGGGTTAAAATATTATTGGGGGCTTTGCCCCCAGACCCTATTTTGGGCGGGCCTTACCTTATTCTATATATAGTCATAAAATATTTTTAAAAGATAGGAGGTTAATTTTTAACAAAATAACAAAAAATATGAAATATATTTTTATTAGTTTATATAAAATATAATAAATAACTTGTATATACATTAATATAAAAGCATAGTAATAATATATTCCAAACAAATATAAGAAATTTATTTATAAAAAGTAAGTAGATATACAGTTGATATTCCTTTATTATACAGGATTAGTTACAAAATACTAGGTCAAATTCCACCTTTACAGACATATTTGACAGTTAGAGAATATATTACTGTTAATATTAACAAATTTTACTAATCAATGCTCTTGATAATAAACATAGCAACAATCTGCATTCAATTATTTAACGCCATCTATTTATTTTATATAAAAATGATATTAAAAATTAATTTTCATATTATTCATCCCACAATGTCTTTAAAAGATATTTTCTGATGTCTTTATCAATATTTTATAGTTTTCTATAAAATATATTATTCGCTATATTGGTAAAAATTACTTGATTGTCATATGATAATTGATAAAATTAGATATACTGTAAATCAACGACATATAATATTCCACTGTTTGTATTGTGCTTTAATTTTTTAAATTTAAATTATGATTTAATTTTATCAATAGTTTTATAATTATATTTTACAAATATTAAGATAAATTAAAATTACTCACTTTATAAAAAATTATATTTGTGATATTATATTATTTAGTAATCTATGGATCTATTATTAATAATTATTATACATTTCACTTTTGTCTTAATACTTATCTTTAGCTTATATTCCATTTATTAGAAAGCATTTTTGGTTCACCTTTTTATATATAAATGCTTTTTTCCAAAAATGTATAAATTATGTTGAATAGTTTTATAAAATATAAACTTTTACATTCTTTCTTTCAAATTGTTGTTTAAGATATATGCATACATTTTTGGGGGTCAGGGAGAGGAGGGGGTGACTAAGGGGGGTATTTTTTATTTTTGAGGGGGGGGGGAGATTTCCCATTACCCCGACCCCCTGGCTACGCCTATACATAGGTAATTTATATTATATAATACCATTCTTATATGCTAGAAATCATTGTAGGCTTATAATTCTGAAATTAAAGTTTGTATTTAAAAGGTTTTTTTTATATAATTTTTTTTTCGATGATAATTGATTATTTTTAAAAGGTATTAAATTTTGTATTTAAAGTAAGAAAAAAGTTTTTTTTCGATATATGTTTTTTTTGATAGATTTAATAAAAAGATAAAAACGTTTTTGCTTAGCGTTTTGTGATATGTATATAATTAAAAATTTTAGTTGTTATTTATTTATTAATAAAATTAATCTAGTATAATTAACGTTATACGGCATTACAATTTGTATATAAAACAACTGTTTATGCTAAGTAATATTTGAATATAATAAAAAAATAATATAAATTATAAACGAGTTCATGCCATAAACTTTATCGACCATTGATATAATATATATTTTTAAAGTATATATGTGAAATTAAATAAAGATAGAAAAATTTAAAAAAATAAAATAAATTTATAAAAGATAATTTTATTTATATATTCAAATATTAATATTTCTTATTAAATAAGAAGTACAAAATATCTACTAACATAATGAATGTCTTAAAGACAATAAAGCAAAATATTTAACTAGCGCAAAGTTAGTCAGAGAAGGAATAAATTATATATTATATTGCAAGGTATGTATTGCGAGGAGGCTAAATGCGGTTAAGTCCCCTCATCATTTTTTTGGCCTTTGCCCCCATTTTCAAATATATAGGAGAGGTTAACCCCCCCCCCTTGCCTTTTTTCCCAAAAGTGTTAAATTTAAATCTTTTTTTATCCTTATTATTGTTAAAAAGTTATATATATTTTTGTTATATAATAAATTTAAATATTAAAGTTCATTAAATTATAATCACTTTTATATTGTGAAATTTCAAATTATACTTTTATCTTTACTTTTACTTTTCGTTTTATAACTTATACTTTTGATTAGATATTCTAATTTTATATATAAAAAAAAAATAAACCATATGAAATATAAATAAAGAAAACATTTTTTATTTTATAATGAAGTGTTCCACACGCCTTTTCATGATGCCCCGGCTCCGGGTGTACTGGAAAACATATTTTGAGAATGATGACCAATAACCAGTGTGTAACTAATGACCAATAACCAATGTGTAACTATATGACCATTAACCAATGTGCAACTATATGACCAATAACCAATGTGTAACTCAATGTGATGACCAATAACCTATATGTAACTATGTGATGACCAATAACTAATATGGAAGTTAGACAATAGGCTATGAATTCTATATAGTGAAACCAATGATGATTTATAAAATATTCTAAATCTTAGGTATAATTAAAAAATACTACAAAGTTAAACAATTGAAAATCCTAAAAAAGAAATAAAACTATAATTTCAAATCTAAATCAAAATGTAATTGAAACATATAAATTAAAAGATATAAATCATATGATTAAATTTAAAGAAATATTTGTGATTAAAGAAGTTAATGATACAAATATTAAAGAAAATAATAAAATTAAAAGCTCTTATAAGTAATACTTAATGTGATAAAACTTTGAAGACAAATAAAAGTATGTAAAAACTAAACGGCTTAATATTAGAAAAACAATGAAGATCATTTTCCAAAAATTTGAGTCTTAAGAAATTATTTTTTACTAAAAGCAATGATGATCCAAAGAAGAATTATTATTTTACACGCCTTTTTAATTTTTTTTATAGCTATATAAAAAATAGAGAAGCAAGAAGTTTTATTTTTATATAAAAATTAGAAGGTTCCACCCCCAACAAGTAGTACAGGTTTTGAACCAATTCTAAAAAGATTAAGCCAAATTTTTAAACAAAGGCTATCATATTCCCATATTGAAGTTTAAACCTAAATGATAGCTCAATCTTGAAAAAGAAGTATTCCTACTATAAGGTTTAGCAAATTTTTTTAGTTAGGATTTAGCCGGATTTACAAAACAGTACAGGCAAGAAATAGTTAACAAAATCTTTAAAATGTTTTAATGAATGTTTTCAAATAGGTAGGATGCTATAATTTAGTTAGGATATTTTTTTATTAGGTTCTTCTGTGTCTTTTTGTCAATTAACTATTTTTTTTATACCGTGATATTTACTAATCCATTATGCTCTAACAACCCCGAGATATTAAATAAAAAAGCATATAACGAGATACCATTTCTCAAAACTACTCTAAGTAAACTCTTTTATGTCTGATGCTTATCTGAGCTATGAATAACATATAATCATTAGGTGATAATCAACTAGTTGTTAGTAACTGTATTCTAAATATTATACAGGAGCATATATTTTAAACTGTAATAAAATGTTTTTTTTGGATGAATAACAATAAATATTTGTAAATAATTTTTTTTTATCTATAATCTAAAAATAGCATGGGCGTCACTAGCCTTTACAGTCTCAGGGGGCTCAAAAAAAATATTTTAAAATTATTTTCAATTACCTTTTTTATAGCTATCATTTATCCATAATTACCTTCTTTTTTTTAGTGGTATAAACGAAAATTTCAAAATTTTGAGGGGGCTCTTCAAATTTTTCATAGGGCTCGAGCCCCTGACCCCCACCTCCCAATATATTATTACCTTATTCTATTCCCCTTTAGTTTCCTACTATTAAATAAATCAATTTTTAATTACTATATAAAGCAGTATCATGTAGTCTCATCTAATAAAATGAAAATATATCTTTAAGTTACCCAATGATTATTATTGAAGTTACCAAATGATGAAAAATAAAAGTTATATTAAGTTAATGGATACTAAAATGTTAAAAAAGAGAAAACAATTTTAACATTATGTCTAAGAATAACAAATGTTGGCTTAAAATATTAATTTATACAATATTAATAATTTCAATTTCATTATTTCTTGTTCATATTTTAAGTTAAGATTATCCAGTTCAATTTTTAGATCGGTCAAGATATAGCATAGCACATATGTTTAAGATTCACTTTACCTTTATTTTTAAAAAAAATTGTGGCAAATATTTATTCCTATAAAACGTAATTTATTTAATAAAAATTAATTGTAACATATGTATTTACTTAATTTTATCTAAGTAAAATAAAACAATATAAAACATGTCAATTAGAATTTATGGATTATAATTATTTGACTAAATTGAAAAAGTTTATTATCTTTTGATATCCACAATATTCTTAGTTAAAGTTTGGATAAAGAATATGTATATTATGATTAAATTAAATTTAATATGGAAGATAGACCTAGCAACTCATTAATTCCTATCTCAACTATATCTTCTTGCACACCAAATTTTTATTATATTGATATTAATACTGACTTATCTAAATCTGATCTAGAAATTAACAATGGCCACATTATAAATGCCAGAAAAGATATTGTAACCAATTCACAGCAAACTAATCAATATTATTTATTATCACAAACTATCACTCCAATTTTATCAGATGAAATTTTTTCAAAATATTTTCAGGATTCTACATCTCCTAGATTAAAAATAAATTTAATAAATGATTCCCAATATAATTATAATACATCTTCAAAAGTGCAATGTAATAATTTAGATAATTTACCTCAACAAAATCATTCAAAGGTATAAGTCATTTTCATATTAATTTTGAAATATTTATTAAATCTTTGAGGTTATTATACAATAATTGTATGGTGCTGTAAAATAAAAATATAGATTATTATTTTAATTTTTATACATTTTGGGATCATCACCAGTAGTGGTGTATTGCATAAAAACTTGGAGAGGGGCTATGATATATATAATTCATTTTTTAAAATTACAAATATGAATATCTTTATTTATATTAAATTTTTCATTAGGAATATATTCATCAATATATTATTGAAGCATAATTTGAATCTTATTATTTTCTTGTCACCAAATCATGCACTAGGATATTAGGCCAATTTTTTGAAAGTATAAGTTAGCAGCAATGTGTTTTTTTCTGGCTATTTTTTCAACTTCAAATCATTTTTTGAGTACGTTATTTTATTTAAAAATCAGATTTTATGGAAATATATTCCAGCACATTTAAGAATACCTATCTTATGAATTGTAGACCATTTTGCCATTAATCTTGGAATCATTTATAATTTATATAAAAAATCTATGGAAAAACTAATATAAATTAGATTAAGTTCAAAAGTTAATAAGAAAACTGAAATTCATAGGGTAGGTATTTTAACATTTTGGAACACATTTCTGGTAAAATCAGATTAAAAAACGTGCAAAAAAATGATTTAAAGTTTAAAAATAACACATTGCTTCTAACATATATATTGGAAAGTTTAAAATAAAAAAATAATTTTATTAAAATGTATTCAAGTCATTATACTTTCGTTTTCATCCATTTAGATGGGACTTCATTATAAATTAGTCTAATTTTAATCTAACTAATTTTGGATTTTTTTTAATGGCATATTTTTAAATAAAAGTGGAATTTCAGAATCAAGCGATTTGTAAATATTTACCTATATACAGTGTCTACATGAGAGAGGGAAGTGATTTGCCTCCAATTTTTTATATAATGATAAATAAAATATTTATATTTCTCATTTATTCATTGGTAATTTTTTAGTACAGTTTGAAGTTGTACACGCTCTTGGCTATTATTTAGAATACTTAGAAAAACTAGCTGAAAGGAACAATGTAGAACCTGATAAAATAATATTTCAATTTTTATTTCTTTCATAAAAATTTTAAATTCCTATTTAATAATTTAAAAGATTTTGTTGAAATTGGACTATTTCTTGCCTGTGGTGTTATTAAATTGGCTAAATTCTAACAGTCAAAAAAATTCCCTAATCCTTAAGGTAAGAGTTTTTTTTTTCAAAATTGAGCTATCCTTGAAATTTAAACCTTGATTGAAACTAAGATGATAGTTGTGGCTTAAAAATATGGTTTAGCCTGTTTAAAATTGGATTAAAACCTTTTAAAAATAAAGATATTTATCACCACTACTTGTGATGATGAACTTCACTTTATATTTTAAATTTTTTATAAAAATAATGAAAATAATAATATTGATAAATAAAACTTTTTACTTCTCTATCTACTATGTGGATGTGGTTATAAAAATCTGACTATAAATTTTTTAAAATTTTTATGACAATAATGAGAAAAAAAAGGGATTCAAGTTTAACACTTTTGGAAAAATATTAAAATTCTTTGGCGTGAGGGCTCACTACCTCCTCATAATTTGGAAAGGGTGATAAAATCAAAATAAAATTAGCAAGGGGCATTCACCTTGGTTTCCCTCACAATACACCTAGGATTAGACAGTGGGATTAGCCCAAAGCCATACTAAGCGTCACTGAGTCTGCCATACATTTTTAATTTGCCTTTGCCAAAAATTAATCCTAAAACTGAAAATACATTAGAGCCCTACAAATTTTTCTTCTTGGTCCTTATTTTCTAGAAGAGAAAAAATTGCAATATTAAGATATCAACTGTTTTAAATAAGAAAATTTATAAACCCAAGCAGCCCCTTAAATTTTTTTTAGAAGCAAGTCCTCTAGAAAATAAAATAATAGACCTCAGGTCTGTCCGGTCCAGGCCCTCTAGGAAATGGACCACGGAAAAACCCGGCGGCCCATAAATGTCTTTGCTAAGCATTACATAAAATTTTAATCATTATTCTTAAGTATTGCATAAAATTTTAATTGTAACCAAATCATATCCGTTCCTTTATGTCAAATTAAATCAAGCATGGATTTTTTAAGAGGAGATGGGAAGGGGGGGTGATCATAAGTGTAGAATTTTATTTCTTTATATTTAATTATTTTATAATTTTAATTGATAAATAAGAACCCTTTAAGTTTTGAGAATTCCAAATTTTATAAATGATAGAATAATTATAAATGATCAGACCAGACAGAGATCGTTGATTTTAAAGGAAAAGAAAGAAAGAAAAGAGATTTAATGGTTTTTGTTCAATTTAGATTTTTTTCTTCTTCTTTTATTTAATTCTTTTATGATTTTACTTGAGAAATAATCTCTTTACGTTTTGAGAATTCAAGATTATATAAATGACAGAATAATTATATTTCCCAGTAATGACGAGACCAGAGATCGTTGAATTAAAAAAAGAAAAGAAAAGGAAGTAAGTGAGAAAGAAACAAATAAATAAAAGAGACTTGATGTTTTTTTTCCATGATAGATAGAAATCAAGTTCAACAAAACTCATAATACATATTTTATTTATTATAAATAACTAAATGTGTCATTAAATGAAATTGAATTCCTAATGAGAGTGACACAAAACTTATAAAATAATAATACAAAATAAATCATAAAAATGCAAAATTCTTGACCGATAACTCATCGCGATATAATATTAAATTACCATGTTTTTTTACAACTACTGCGTTTTTTTTGTGGCTACACAATAATATTTTTTTTTACGAAAAGAATAAATAATTTCCCCTTTTTAAAATTAATTATTTTTAAATAGTAAAATTATAATTTATTCATTTTTTTGTTTTCTACAGACCACAAGGGAGACTATTTTACCAATGTTAGTCGATTCTTTACCCCACGTTCACGAATATTACAATACTTTACCCCTCACGCCCAACCACAAAAACCTCAAAAACGTTTATTACCAAAATTACGAGAATTCGGAGATCCGTAGTAACTCCTCTCACAGGAATGATTCCTCGCCCGAATACTCAGTTTTCAATTACGATATTCCAAAAACAATAGGTCCAAATTTAGACAAGGATGATGTCAAACGGCAGAATTTAAATTTGCGATCTGTGGTCATGTCTCCCACGCTGCCTAGCGACGACGGGCCTTTCGCTGCTCATCGATCTAAATATGTAAATTACGCCGGTAAACCGAACGAACAAGTTCAACCGCATTCCTATCTCGGGTCCGTTATTCACGAATCATCGCCGAACGGGATTGATTACGATATCCCTTTTACGAAATCTAAATATTCGAAACACTTCAATCATTCCGTTCCGACATCCAAAAAATGTAAAGAAGGGATCAAGGCCATACCGTTCTTAGGAAAATCTAGTATAAATTTTTTTTTTGAATAAATATAAATAATGTGCGAAATAATAAAACAAATCGCATATTCTCAGGCTCTTCGCTCGGTTACGACTATCCAAATATCAAATCTCGACACCAAACTCGCAACACCGGAAATGGAGAGGCTGTTGATCAAATTTCTCAAGCAAATAAGTAAGTATTTTTATTAGTTAAAAGTGTATTAGCCATTATTACGCTGTACTACAATATGCTATCTTTTAAATTACTAAATCTTTTGAGATTTATTTTCTGGGGATTCCCATCAATTACGCGAAAGCTTCTAGAGTGAATATAAAATATCTATAATTTTATATGCTTATTAACTTATTTTTCATTGCTTAGAAAAAAGAACTTATTAAATTAATTTATGAATCATATTCATTATGAATATGTTTATGTAAAAATAGGCTACTTTTTTTATATTAGATATGTCGATATTGCTAAAAATAATAACGCCGTTACACTGCGCGTTACTTTTAAAAGTTAACACCATTATATTGATTTTTTTTTATGGCATTGGTTCAAAGATAGATGATAAGTAAAAATCAAACCAAATATCGAATCGATATTAGTTATCGGATCGGTTTTTTATGAATATTGGAAAACTACTGATCGAATCGGTAAAATTTGTGGATCAGCATAACCCTATTAATTCGTTTATTATTAGTATATTTTTGCAGGGAGGAACCGACTCTATAGGGATAAAGATAAGGAGGTAATCACCTATGGAGGTCTAATTGTATTTTTTTCCCCCGAAATGATATTATTTTTTTAAAAATAAAATTGACTAATTTATTAATGGAGAAATTTTTTTTGTGTCCCGACTTCTCTTATGACTAATTGCCTTTTAATGTGAATTTTCAGCTCGAAGCCTATTCACAACGGGTTTTTTTTAAAAGTCATTCAAAATTATTATATATTTTCATAATATTGATAATTGTAATTTTTTAGACCCAAAGTGTTAAAAAAATATTTTCTATATTTGACGTTGAGATAAAGTTACAAAACTTCCATTATTATATATATTAGGGTAATCATGTTATAGCGTCTGCGCGTACGCAGGAATTCGCTTTGAAAGGGGGACGATAATTAATTTTTTTTTAGGATAATTCAAGGAGATATTTAAGAATATTCTTAAGTTTCAAAAATTTATTAGGACTAGTGACTATAAAATATTGTTACACAAATTCAAATATAGATTAATGATAAAATATTTAATGTTTTTAATCTTTGTAAAATTCATTTTTTAAAGTATTTCAAATTTGATATATAAATTTAAATTATATTTAAAAAAAAATGTTGATAATGCACAAAAATATTCTTAAAAATTTTGCATGTGTATAAACTTAAGAAAGTATTCAATCAAAAAAATATCATGTATTAAAAAAATGGAAAAAAAAATATAATTAAGAAGCATATATAAATTTATAATGTAAAATTCAATCTTCTTAGGGATAGAGCTAATTTTTCAAAGATTTTATCAGTGCTTGGTGTCAACTCCATATATATATTAAGAATGGCTGACACCCATTCAATCTATTTTCAGAGATAGTACTTCTCGATAGTATTGTTAAACGTTGATGTGAGCCCATTTTTAAAACGGCTAACTCAATATTTTATCCAGAAAAATATTGCGTAAGCCTGAAAATTTTATAGATGGCACAAAGGTTTAGACATCTATTAACGAAATCTCGAGGCTTAGGCAATATTTTTCTGGTTAAAATATTGGAGTTGGCCATTTTTAATAATAGGCGCCAAGCGAGCCATTAACAACACTAGTTTTTGAAGTATATTTATTAGAAATAATTCTTGAAATATATTTTTGAAGTATATTTTTTTATTTTATTCGTTATCAAATCCCATTTTCTTTTACTATTCAAATTCATATAAAATAAAATAAATATAATAAAATAAAATAAACATTTTACAAAAAAATATTAAAACAAAATAAACAATTTAATACATAACAGTTTTTAACTATTCCATGGTATAAATCAAATCGATCTCATTTTTTTTTGAAATATTTTACTTTAGTTTTGCGGTGAAAAAGTTTCAATCATGGGATATTTTAAAATGTTAGATTAGTATAACGCCAAATAGTGTTTACAGTGGTCCGGTCGAACCGACTGCCCGGTCCAATCCGGTCTCATCCGACTATTGGGTTCGACGGGAATGTCGGGTCCAGCAACATGGTGGTTCTGTCCGGTTTAACCAAAGACTGATTTAAAAGGATAAAAGTTTACATTGAATTACTTTTTAATTAATGCACATGAACATGTAAAACATGATTATTTAATGCCTAACACTTTATAATATCTCATTAATTGTTTGCTTTTTCTATTCTTTTGCATAAAGGAACAATATATATAAAAATATTTATTTATCTTATGAGGGAGAAAAAAAGCCAGGAATAGGCTCTCGGTGACTGGGACATCAGAGAAATCTGGAAAGATGATATAAATGATCCAAAGCTATTTAATCAATATTTTATATATAATTAATTTCATCATATTAGATTGGTAGTATGGGAATCAATAATTATTCCCAATTCTGACTAAAATAGCATGGACTATCTCCCATAACAAGCTACACGAGTAGGCCTACAAAAAAACGAATCGAATAATTGCGCTATTCGTATTCGTACGAATAATAAAATCATTATTCGTTTCGATTCGATTCGAAAATTTTTCTAAAGCTTATAAAATATTTTGCAAAAAAAATTTTACTGATGTTTAAAGATGACACTTTTAAGGATTCTCTAAACTAATTGTCATTACAATATAAAAATTTATTGAAAATAAACGAAATAAAACCCAATGATTTCATATAACGTTAACCAAACAAATTGACCAAAATATCCGATTTTTAGCATTAGAATTGCTTATAAAAAAATATTTAACTATTTCTTCAATCTAATATTAAAATTTTATAAAAATGTACAATAATCTCATTTTATAAAAATAGAAAATAATACACAAAAATATTAAATTATAGTAAATCCGAATTTGATAATATCCAATTTTTTAAGCATAAAGTCTTTCTAATAGTTTCCTTCTTCAAAGACATTCTATTTTTCATTATCATATTTGTTCCTATTGAGAACAACCGCTCACATGAAGCCGAAGATCCCTGAATTGACAATACATCAGTTGCCATTTTCGACAACACAGGAAAACGATCCCCATGCAATCTCCACCATTCTAAGGGACTCTTATTTGAACTGATTCTTATTTCGTTAAGATATGTCTCCAACTCACATACTGATGCGATGTTATTTTGTTTAAAAATTCTATCCATGTTCGTATTGGGTTAACTGATGTTGATTTGATATTATATTTTGTAATCATTATATACATCTTTAAATTTTTCTAATAGATTTGTCGTGCCTATGTTATATGTAGTTGGTAGTTGCTCAAAAAATTCCATTTTTAGTCTAGGATCCAGTATTGTTGATATTATAGTGTGAATATTTGTTAAGTTATAATAAGTTTATATTTTCTCAATCGCACTGATAGATATTTGCGAATAATTACGAATATTTATATATAAATAATTTCGAATAATACGAATAATTTTCCTCATTATTCATATTCGATTCGAAATTTCGAATCGAATAATTGTGTTATTCGTATTCGTAAAATACGAATCGAATCGAATTGAATCGAATCGAATATCAAATAACAAATAATTCGTTTTAGGCCTATACACGAGTAGCATTTGAATTCTTTTCTGAAGCTAGTGATAAAATATCAAAAAATGGAATAGAACGAATCCAAAGATTGTTCAATCTCCAATGAAATTTGAATTATGGATAAAAAATGGATTTCATTTGATTTTTCAGAAGATTATTAGAATATTTATATATAAATTAATTTTATTTTATAACCAAATATCTAACACATATTATATATATCAAAAATTCATTAAATATGCATATTGATTTATATTATATTAAATATGCAAATTGATTTATATTATATTCAATAAATTTGGTATTAAAAATTATTTGATGATATAATTAAAATATTGGTAATTTAATACATTTAATTTTTAATAAATTTAATGTAAAATAAATTTTTATAGTGCAACAAAGAACATGTTTTAAATGGGATCGGACCGACGGTCCCACTTTTTGGACTCATCTGACCTAACGGTCCAGTGGTCCAGTCCTATTTTAAAAAAAGATCAGAAAAACACTAACGCCTAAAATTTTAAATCGATATTAATTCACAGGATAATCTGCTGAAAATGTGATAAATATAAATAAATTGGAATATATTGTAATAAGAGCTAAAAATCAAATATTTTTGAAAAATATTTTAGTCGATTTCTGAATTTTTTTGAGGGGGGGAGATGGGGTAAATTGGTCTCCCTCCTCTCCGTTACGTACGCGCATATATAGCGTCCTTCAACCTGGATTCGCATTCAGGTGAGACCATTTTTTCCTGAAGCTGACAGGTATTTTTTGATATAAGGCCAGACCAGGGCATGAAAGAAAATCCGTTTTTATATAATATTAATTATAGGTCATATTCAGTTACGCAACTAACGTTTACAATCTTACACATTTTCATATTGACCTTTTTTTGTTATATATAAAAAAAAATTCAAAAATATCAAAGGTTTCGAGCCCCTGCGCGCCCCCCTTTAGTGACGTACTGGTCTTATTACATTCAAATAAATATTGGCCGATGGCATATAAAATTGAATTTTTTTAATTTAAGAATAAATTAAGGGTTTATCATTTATTCAACAAATCTTAAGTTCATTTAGCCCGATAATAAATTTGTGGCAAAGTTGCTGGGTTTATTTTTATTCTTAAAATGGCGGCGATTACAGTGTTTTGTAGATTTGTGCAAATTAAATTATTTAAATTGTAAAAATTGTTAAAAATATAAAAATCTTCGTCTGAGTATTATAGTGTGTTATATCCATTCTTCATAATTTTCCAGGAGAGCATTTCTAAAAAAAATATCTATTATATTTTATGTGATCACACCATAATAAGGCAAATACAGTACAGTACTGAAGGATCAACTTATCGAAAAGATTGCATTTTGAAAAATATAATACTCAGCCCACGATATATTTATTTTAGAAATTTTTGCACGTTAAATAATTATATTTTCAAATAAATTAAAATATATGGAAATGTTTTCAATCAAATCTGCACAACATTATATAATTAATCTTACCTGTTGCCATCTCATATAGGCAAAACACGCTTTCTTTCATCATCCAATTTTAGCAGAATTACATTTTCAGGTTTCTTCTTTAAAATGCAAGGAAGAATGCGTTTTTTTTAAAATAAAAATGACCAAAGAGTATGACTATGTCCGTTCGACTAAATTTGTATACTTATTGCTTTTTAGTATGGGCTTATTTGGTGGCATTGTTATTTTTCGTATTTTATTCTCGTTTTTTTGTTTTTTGTTGTGTTTTTTTTTCGTTTTTTTTAAAAAAAAATTTCTTTTGCTTTTTTTAGTGGTCTTTAAGTTATAAGTCGACCTAGCACAATCTATAGGCTTAAATTTCTTTTTTATTCGAACCTTGATCTGTGATTTCATGTCATCACAACCGTTAATTGCTCAACTCGAGAAATGGTTAACTGAAGAAATATTTTTTAATTGGATGAATTATATTTAAAATTAAACAAGTATCTGAAGGAGTTGGAATAAAGAAAAGAGGGATATGGTTTAGAGTTATTTAAAGGTTTGAAAGACATAGGTTAGTTGTTAAATTAGTTTTCAAACTTGGCAGGTAATGTGATTATAAATTGACTAATAGAAATTAAAATTAATCAGCTGTTGTAACACCAATATTCTTGATTTGGACCATTATCATCACAATACATCATAAAAACAACATTTATCTAAGTATTATATCAATTTCATTGACAATAGAAAAAATTTCTTCTAGGAGGAGGGTGGGGTTGGATTATAATAAAATCTAAATGAATATTTTGAAAATAACGAAATAAAGAGGAATATCCACAAAACTCGTCGAATCGGGACTTGCGAAGGCGGACCCGCAAATATAATATATTAAAAATAATCATTCATCGGGATTCTAGTTTTTGATTATGGTCAAATAAAGAAAAAAATGGGGTTTATGTCAGGGATTCTAATCAAACATTTAAGCCGATATTAACCGTTATTTTACCCGGTTGAATCTTATGATTTTATGTTTAAGAGTAAAAAATTTAAAGATGATAGAAAATTTATTATCATTCAAATTTGTCATCAATATTATTTTACATTTTTTTAAAAATATAATTTCCTTTTTTTTATACTTTAATTTAAAAAAAAATCTTATTAATGCCTTGAGATAAATCAAGTCCAATTTATAAATTATTTATTTATAGTATTCTAAATGATACATTCAAATGTAATGTTACAATTGTAATACAATCATAGTCGTAGCCAGGATTTTAGTATGGAGAGCGGTGGGCTATTAGGGGGGTTTCCAAGATCATATTTTGCAGGCATTTGGCCATGTTACAATTTTTAAATGATAGTTTTGATTTTTGATTTGTTTTATAAAAATGTTTTTTTCTATAAATTATTAACTTTTGCTTATATTTCTTTCAAATTATCATTTGGCAAATTTCCGAAGGGAGAATTCACCCCCCTGGTTACTTCTAAATACAATTAATCTTGAACGGTTCATCAATCATCCTCTGGAACTCGTTAAAAAAATATCACGACAAAATCCAAAAGAAATAAATAAGATTAAGATGCCGTCATGCTGACAAACTCTCGAAAAAGCATCTATAGAACAAACATGATAAAGTCCATTTAAAAGATTAGTGATTATTAGAAATATTTAATTTTTTTATAAAACATCGTCTAAATAAAGGAATTAATATTTTATACTTTTTGGAAAAATCGTAATTGATATCCAGAATTATATAAATTATTTGACGTTATGTTGTTATTTCCGGTTATTTAAGTTAGCGCAGAGTGATGCTTTTCAACAATAAAATTTACACTGAGATATTTCAATCGTACCGCTCGCTCTCAATACCAATTTTTTAAAATAAAATAATATTTAATATTGAAGTTAATAACCGATATTTATTTATAATTTTAGATATTAAATAATAATATAAAAACGTTATATATTTTTTTAAAATGAAATTTAAAAAAATGTGCTTCTCTATACATAATTCCAATATGTGTAATGTATATAAAGGTGTTCAACCTGGTTTTTAGAGGTTCTAACCAAGCCGATATAATTTTTAAAGAATCAAATTTTAAACCGTTATTTTTATGAACCCGAACCGATATTCATTTTGGTTTGAATCCCAGTCAATTTAAATCATTTCAAAAAATTAACTTTCACATAAAAATATTTAATTTCTTGTAACTTAGGTTTTATTTAAAATACATTATCATTAAGTAATATTAAAATCGACCTTTAATTTTTTTAAAATATATCTACAACTATAATATAAAACACATTTGGTAAACTCGCAATACAAATATAGTTTTTTTTTCCACTTTGTAATGATTTCTTACATATAATTTTTATTTCCGTATAATTTATGTTACATATGTACAATTACAGTGAAAGAAGAGTATTTTTCAAATTACATATTATTTTTTAGAATATAAAATTGTAAGCCGTGAAATAAGTGTAAGACTCCAAAAAAATTTTCGATGGGAATTAGCTGAGGTGAATATGGTGGTGGGTATTCAATCCTACCTTTATAAGCATCGATAAGATGGCTTCTATGGATAGATGCATTATCCATTACAATGATTGCATCCGGTGGTAATATACTAATAAACTCTTATAGAATCACGTAATAATACCCCATTATAAGTCCTTCGAATTTTATAATGGATTGCCCCTCCAATTTCAATTGTGCAAAGTAGGCTTACATTTTTACCCTTGGAGGATATGATTTTTATTATTGGGCGACATTGTATGGCTCCCAATAGCTTGGTACAACATGCAAGTTTATTCCAGTTTCATCTAAGAAATTAAGTTTTCTCTTGGGATATTTAAGATCTTTACACAGAAGATCTGACGAATATTAATTGCCCCAGAAGTATTTCTTATATCAAGCTCCTTACCAGCTCTTTTTTTAGACACATATTTTTGATATATTTACTAATGGTTGTTTTCGATTTTGGTCTACCAGGTGGCAAATTTTCTATTCTGGATAGTAAGATTGTTATTTTCCATTAATAAGCTAATGAAGGAAGATCTTTTTTTAAAAAATTCTAACTTCCTCTTTTTTTTGACACATTTTCTTTATTTTAAATTAAATTTCCAACATAATTTTTTTTTTAAACATGACGTTTAATCTTAATTAATTGCTTGTCCATATTTAATTTCAATATGTATTAAATTAAAATAAAATCTTACTTTGTTTACCCCCTTTTATTGTATATTTAATAATGAACTCGTTTATAAATAATTGTTAAAAAGCCATATTTGTAAAATTTATAAAAAAATTTATTGTATTTATTATTTCTTTTACTCGTTTCCCGTATAATTAAATTACATAGTCAATTAACTCATAATTTTATTAGTAAAATATATCTTATTTTTTTTTGATTCTCAATTTTTTCCCCAAAAATATTTAAGTAGGTTTATCTCCGCCCCGTTAATCTGCTTTTACTTTTTATAATTCTTGTCAAAAGCGAATTCCAAAAAAAAAAAATTGAACAGCTCATTTTATTATTCAAAATAATTCTCCCCCCCCCCCCTTTTTCCACAGGTATAACACAAAAATCTAATCTACCCTTTGCCAAAAAATGATTCCCTTTTCCCATATTTTAAGACCTCTTGCGACCTTATAAAAATTCGACTTGATTTTACCCCGACGAAGCGATTTTCTATTACACCTCTGACTTCAACATGACCCCTTTTCACTGAAAAATTTAATGACTAATTATATACTCATTTTTTTGCCATTTAGAAATGTAAAGCCTCGTCACAGGATTTTAGAATGAAAATTCAACACTTGTTTTTCGAAATTTTTATTGCCATAAAACTTTTGTCGATATCCTCCTTCCTGTTATTTACACTAATTCTTTTCTTGGCGAGCAGTGATATTTTAAAAATAACTAATCAAAGCCAAGCCCATATCTGTTTTTGGGCGAATTTTTTTGTTGTTGCTGAAAATAATTTGATACATAAGGGGCGCAGCAGTGGGGTGGTTGATTTTAGATATATATAACTGTCTTAGCCGTAACTGGCGGCCTCATTAACATGGAAAAATACTAGCTTATAACCAACTGACAAATGATTTTGTCTACATTTAATTGGAAGATGTCCTGCTTCTAGCAAAAAAAAATTGCATAATATTTTATCGCGCGACTTAAAATTGGTATTTATTTATTTAGTATTGTTGCGCAACTCGGCAAAATATAAAGTTAAATCGCGTGTAGAAATTGTTCGCTTTGGCCCAATAGTAAGCGCAAAATACCGTGATATCGCCTCAAACGATGCCTTAATTTGTAATTTACAAATTGCATAAAATTAAGTCAGTTATACTATCATTTAGCGAAAATACGCCTCGCTTCGACTTCCGGTATTTCTGTTTACCATAAACGACGCATGAGGCCTCATTTAGAGTAAACGCACGTTCAAGCGCAATATTTACAATATCTAGCCAATAAATCATAATTTATAAATTTGGAACGAATCGATGAAAAGGCTATAATAAAATTTGGAAAACATATGTAGCGACGTATATTTCAAAAATTATTATCGCTGTGAACAACTGTGATTTCGATAGCGTTAAATACCGCACCGTTTTAACAAAACGCGTTTACTTAAAAGAAGCCTTAGATTAAATATTCAAGCCAACTATTATTTTCTTCTAATTCTCTTTAAAAATAATTATTTAAAAAAAAACAAAATTTTCATAACAGCAACACATACATAATCATTTCCTCATTATAAAATAATTAGGTTGCAAATCTTATAAATTGTTTATAGTTAATTATTATTATCTGACATTCAAAATTTTAAAAAAAAATTCGAAGCGGAAACGAAAAATTCGATATTGTTAATTCCTCTATTAATTACGATTCTCTTCCTACACGCAAAACAAATCATAAAGGTAAATTTTTATTTAAAATAGATACAAATCACTTTTTTTTATGTTGATTTAAATAAAATATATATGATCCTTAAAAAAAATAAAATGATATTTTCGAAAAAGTTTATTTTTTTTATGTTTTAAGCTCGAAGGTTAACCCTAAAAATATTTTTATTTTATTTTTTAACCCTTTTTTGATATTTTTTTTTGTCGTTGCTTATTGTCAATTTTTTTTTTAGAGTAATGATTAAATATTTTTTTTGAAATATTTATATTTGGCATTATAAAACTAAAATATATTGCCGATTCATCTGACATTAGATTTATAGCTATGAAATTATAAGACAATTTTTAGGATATAAATATAATCAGATGGCAAATGACATCGCAGTCTCTTATCAGAGCCAATCTGTTTGATTTAGGCACGTGTTCTTTTAGCCCTGTGACATCAATTGGGTAATTGCTTTTTTTAAAGCCGTTTACCTGTCGGGGAACGAGAACTATCACCTCAGCCTTGCTAATTTTTTATAGCTCAACTTTTGAAGTAAAAAATTAAACTCACTCCACATTGCTTAACGGATTTTCTTTGGCACGCTCCTGTAGTTTGAGCCTTAGCCGATTTTTAGTCATTAACCAAATTATACTTGATAGGCTATAATATTTAAAATAAATCTTTCATGAATCATGACATTATTTTTTTAAATATTTTTTATAAAGGCACAAATGGCTCAATTATATATTGCTCTCAAAATACACACTACGATACAACAAATATCCAATCTATGGTAATGCTTAAATTAATAATTGATTGAATATTTTTCACCCTATTATTAATATAATTTAATTATTTTCTCACATCCAATTTGATTTGTATATTATTGCTAGAGAACATTATTTGGATTTCTTTCTTTTAATTAATATATTTATAATATCATTATATTAAATAAATTTAAATGTGTACATCTAATATAATAAATAATAATCGATATTTAGCCTGGTACAAACGACTCAGAACAAATATATCATTATTTGAACCATCTTTGCAATTCTGTCGAAGAGAATGGAATTGATAGTAGTTTATTTACTGACTCGAAATTGAAAAACAACGAGAATGGTGATGCCAAGTCTGGCGTTAAAAGAAACGCCATGCCCGCCACTCTACAATACATCGATATTCAGGTTGTCACGGACGAGATAAACAGTAATAAAATTTGTCATAAGTGTCCTAAATCAAAACCCTTACAGAGGAACAATATTGAAGAGAAGACTTATAAATGCGATAATATGTTAGAAAATCATGCGAAAAATTCCTTATTCGAGAAAGTCGATGATTTGAATCCGATTAAAAGGAATAATGATATGCTCGAACCTAAAGATACGTCTAAAATATCGAACAAGATTTTCAAAGAAAAGGTTTCAAAATCATTGCTGAAAAAAGTGTACACCAGGTTTAAAGAAAGTTTGCGCCAGAAACCAAGTCAACACGATACCGGCAAATCATTCCGTTATAATAATGGTAATTAAATGATGAGCCTATATTTTTTGTTATAAAATACATACTTTATATTCAAAATGCTTAGGCTATAACTCCACATCGGTAAGTTTTACGGGAGAGCGATTTTGAAATTAATTTAATTGGGGTTAGATAGAACCATAGAATAGGCCTATTCAAAAACGAATCGAATATTAAATTGTTGGTATTCGATTCTTTTGAATAAATCGAATAATTTGATATTCGTAGGAACAATAAAAAGATATAATTAAGAATAGGAAATTATTCAATTCATTCAAAAATAGTGATGCATAGGGTAAATAATACCTGAGAAAATGATTTATTTACCCTGGGAATATTCCTCATTTAGTTTTTAGAATCATGGTAATTTATTTTTATTTTTCTCGCCGTTTTGTTTATCTAACTGACTTTACCACTCTACATATATTAAGCAATCATTTAAATCTAAATTTAGACATGTAAATGGCAAATCTAGGTGCAAAAATGATTTTGGTAAATATCATGCTACGTAAATATTTTGCCATTAATCCGATGGAAAGATGTTTGTATAAATCAAGCACTCTGTATACCACTCTACATAGATTAAGCAATCATTTAAATCTAAATTTAGACATACAAATGGCAAATCTAGGTGCAAAAATGAGTTTTGTAAATATCATGCTACGTAAATATTTTGCCATTAATCTGATGGAAAGGTGTTTGTATAAATCAAGCACTCTGTATATTAGCTGCAATATTCTCAATCCCCTCATCCATTGCAGCCTCAGAAAGAATATGGTCTGCTTTTGGAAAAACAAAGTAGATAAGGAAGACGGCATAATGAAAGAGTGAAAAAATTGGTTTAAATATGTTATAATCAACCTATACATGATGGCATTATTCCTCCATTAAAATGGGAACAACTAATGATGAAATACATATTTTCAAGTGAATTACCGATTCTGGGTGTCATCTCGAGTCTCATTTTTATATAAATAATTATATATATAAAGTCAATCAATTTTTGTAAAATGTTGTGATTAGTTTAAAGGAAAACGCCAATCAATTTTCTTTGTAAAAAATTTTCGATTGTTTTTTAAAAACAAAAAATACTTATTTTTCCCATTTTTTGAAAAATATTTTGTATCGAAATCACTTTTGACTTTTTTAGAATTTACGTTTTAATATAATTAATTTTTTTCGACTTTTAAAGAAAAATATATTTTGTTGAAAAATCATATTTTTAGAATTTACGTTTTAAAATCATTATTTTTTTTTTTTACTTTTAAGAAAATATTACTTTTATGTGATACGTGATATATAGCGCTTTTGCCCTCTAGCGTTGAAAGTTCAACAGAGCTACGCTAGGTTTTCCTCATTTCCATCTAATTGGAAACTAATTTAATTTGGGTATAAAAGTAAAAATATGAGGAGCCCTCCACACGTTTGTGGGCAAGCCGCACGTACTTGTAGGCGCAACATTTCGAAAAATATTACTTAAACCTCTAGGCTTATTAAAAAAGGAGTGGGGCAGAAAAAGAGCCTATACCCGAGAACTTCAGTATAATTTAATTACTTTAAGGGTGGGCGGTGGATCATTTTTAATTTGAAAATTTTACCATGTTAGTACTAGTTATAGTAAGGAAATTTTAAAAAGAATACTTCCAGAAAGAGTTGAATAATTGTTGATAGGAAACATTTAGATAATGATATGTGAGCAAAGAATTTCAAAGTACGTTTTCATTTGAGGTAACTTTTTTTGATGCGAAAAAGCTTTTTGATGGATTTTTTGCTGTTATTTAGTTTTATGAATTGTTTCATATTAATATTTAAATCCATTATATCTTTTATGGTTTTATAGTACCATAAGGATTTGTATTTTGTTTCCTTTATATGTGTACAACTATGCTATGGCATCATGAGCTAGATTATGATCGGAGTTCCTTATTATGTGGGCCAGGAACTGGATCCGGCGTTTTTTAAAAGTGATGTTAATCGGCGTGTGATTTGACTTTTCCCAAAGATTTGGGTTTGAGATAACTTCTTGGATAAAAAAAATGCCATTTATTATACGTAGACAATTATTTATAAAAGATTGTAGTCGTCTCATTTCTGTCTTATTTGCTTCCCAAATATCACCTCCATATAATAAAATAGGGACTATCGTAGAGTTGAATAACCTCAATCTTTAAATACCGAAATCTCTTTGGTTTTCCAAACTTTCATGTACTTATAGAAGGCACCCCTCGCCTTTTGTATTCTATCATCATTTCCTCTTTTCCACTGCCTTTGTTATCTAGTGTTATACCTAAGTACTTAATTGTATTTCCTCCAAATGTAAAATTATCTATCGGTGGAGCATTTGGGGAGGGGAGAATAACAGTTTTTTCGAAATTTATTTCAAGTCCAACTCTTTGACTTAGGATCTCTAGTAGGTATAACAAATTTTTGGTTTCATCTATACTCTTGGAGATTACAACAATGTCGTCAGCATATGATATTATTCTGTTGACAAAAGATATAGAATTATTAGATCCTAAATCTACCAGATCAGCCGTGAATTTATTCTAGAAACCAACAAAGAATATTTTAAAATGCAAGAAACAAATAACAAGTAAAGATTAAATATAGTTTAGGAGAACAAAGGACAAGTAAAGATTAAATATAGTTTAGGGGAGGGACATATTTGTGAGAAAAAGTAGATAGAGGATTAGGTTGGGAGCCAAGTAAGATGTAACCAATAGAAAATATAGGGAAAATTTACTATGGTCCAAGAACAAAATTGAGTTTTTTTCATACTAGAAAAGGTTTGGGCGGAACTGAAAAACTTAAAAGGGTAGGAAAAAAATTTTAAGATTATAGTTATTACAAGGAAAGTTTGTTGGGATGAGAAATATTACAGCAAATATGTAAATGAAGCCATACATGGAAATGTAGATAAATGTTGGAATCTTTTCATAAAAAGTCTTGCGGAATCATATGACAGACTGCTGCCAAATATAAACCCGGTATCAAGAAAAGAATGGATGTCAAGGGAAATCTTAGAAAAAATTAACCTACTAAGAACGAAGAACGGTTTTAACAGCGACCTATGGAAAAATATCCAAAGATTACTCCGAAATGATAGATGAATTTTTATTCCGAAAAAAGCTTTCGATATCGATAAAGATATTAAAGAAAACAGGACCTATGATGCATATAAAAAATTTAAATATTTTTGTCAACCTGGTAGTTTTAAGAAACGGTAAAGTAATCATAGATCAAGATGAACAAATAGCTGCATGGCTTGACTATTACATGATGTTCTTTGATTCAAGGAGAGCGACCCTGCCAGCTAGCTTAAGTACAATCCATGTCTCATCCCCATCTGGCTTTTCCATAAATGAAATGATTTTTTGTAAAATTTTTCCATTTTTTTTTTTACAAATCATTCTTAATTTTTTGTGACTTATTAAGAAATATTTTTGATGGATATATATTTAAACATTAATTAAAATATTTGAAACTTCAAGTCTAAAGTGTCAATATTATTAAAGTAAGTTTGATAAGTATATTTCAGAGTAAGTTCTATGGTTTTTTTTATTGTGAAGTTCATTGTTTTGTATTGACGTTCAATTTTTTTGTTACTGGGGATGGTTTTTGAACCAATTTATCTTATATTTTAATAATAAATATTTATTTCTATTTGGACTTATATTGTTTTTATTAATTGTATTATATATGTTAGCAGCAATGTGTTTTTTTCATATTTGAGCGTGTTTTTTTTTTAAATTTAAAAATCTGATAACCGGGAATGTATTTCATCATGTTATACCTACCCTATAAATTTCAGGCAATTTTGTTATAAACTTTTGAACTTAATATAATTTATATTAGTTTTACCATAGATTTTTTTATAAATGATTCAAAGATTAATGGCAAAATGGTCTACAATCCATAAGATAGGTATTCTTAAAAATGCTGGAATATATTTCTGGTAAAATCTGATTTTTAAATTTAAAATAACACGCTCAAAAAATGATCTAAAGTTGAAAAAATAACACTTTGCGGCTAACATATAAAAACAATATTTTGAGTGTATAACATCTTATTTTCTGGGAATTTTACACTACTAAAAGAATCAAATACGAATAATTCATTATTCAATTCATATTCATTTTTGGTTAGGCCTACCATAGAGTAAATCCATACACTTTTTAGAAGTTATACTATATAATATATATATATGTTAGTGTCAATGTATTTTACTCTTTCATAGTATATAGACTACCGGCCATAAATGATTGCCCTCCCCCCGTATTTTCTTAAAATAAGAAAAATAACAAACAATATGAGGTTTATCGAATTTATTTATAAGTTATTGCATAAAATTACAAAAAATAAAAGACATAAATTTACAAATCTGATAACCGGGAATGTATTTCATCATGTTATACCTACCCTATGAATTTCAGGCAATTTTGTTATAAACTTTAGAACTTAATATAATTTATATTAGTTTTACCATCGATTTTTTTATAAATGATTCAAGGATTAATGGCAAAATGGTCTACAATCCATAAGATAAGTATTCTTAAAAATGCTGGAATATATTTCTGGTAAAATCTGATTTTTAAATTTAAAATAACACGCTCAAAAAATGATCTAAAGTTGAAAAAATAACACTTTGCGGCGAACATTTAAAAACAATATTTTGAGTGTATAACATCTTATTTTCTGGGAATTTTACATTACTAAAAGAATCAAATACGAATAATTCATTATTCGATTCATATTCATTTTTGGTTAGGCCTACCATAGAGTAAATCCATACACTTTTTAGAAGTTATACTATATAATATATATATATATGTTAGTGTCAATGTATTTTACGCTTTCATAGTATATACACTACCGGCCATAAATGATTGCCCTCCCCCCGTATTTTCTTAACATTTTTCTTAAAATAAGAAAAATAACAAACAATATGAGGTTTATCGAATTTGTTTATAAGTTATTGCATAAAATTACAAAAAATAAAAGACATAACAATTATTTAAGATCAAATTTTGGTCTCAACAATATGACCACAAATATTCTTAATAATTGCTGCAAAAATTTTTGGTAATCTTTAGATGAGATTTTTTAAATATTTGGAAGTAATATTGTTCCATTCTCTCTGCAATACTTCCCAAAGGTGCGAATGAGAGGTTAGTGGGCTTTTTCGCGCTTGTCGATCAAGGTGATCCCATAAAAGTTCGATTGGATTGAGAGACTGGGATGGCCAAGTCATCAACTTGAGAATATCGTGTTGTTGTAGATTTTGTAAATAATCTTTGCATAGCCCGGATGTATGCTTTAGGTCATTATCTTGTGAAATAAAAAGTTATTCCCGATCAAACACTTTCCTGATGAAATCACATGGTCCTCAAGGATTTGCCTGTATCCCTCCTTGTTAAGGATTCCTTTAATTTTGACAATGTCTTCGTTTGCCCCGGCACCAAAGCACCCCCACACCATAACAGACCCTCCCCCGAGTTTGACTGTAGGAATTATGCAGTGATCGCTCATTCTATCTCCAGCTGAGCGGCGGATATATTGCCTTCTTTTAGAACCGAAGATTTCGAATTTTGACTCATCACTCCATAAGACGTGGTACCAGTTGGCAGTTGTCCAAAATTGATGTTTTCGTGCCCAGTCTAATCGCTGAGTTTATTTTTTTTGCTCAAGAATGGTTTTTTGACGGCTACCCTATCATAAAGTTCAAAGCTCCTAAGGCGTTTCACAGTTGTGACACTCATCGGGTTTTCCCGAGTCAGATTAATCTCCACAGCTATCTCTGAGGCGACAAGGCGTCGATTGCGTTTACTGATCCTTGCTATATACCTATTATCGCTTAAAGTCGTTTTGGCGGGGTCTTCCAGGTCTCTTTGGATTCGATATTGTATTATTGTTGCTTAATCTTTTAACCCATTAATGGTCAAGATTTTTCTAGTGGATAAAAATGCTCAATTTTTTCAAATTATATTGATTAATGCTCAAATATGATATTCTAAAAAAATCAGCCAAAAAAAATAATCCTAAATAGAAAATCTAGCCTGGTGCATATATGCACCGTTAACCATTAAGAGGTTAAAAAAGATAAAAATTATATAAAATACTATAAGATCAAAAAAACAACAAATATCTTTATTCTTTTTTTGTAATTTATAATAAAAACGAGAAAATGTTTATATATTATGAAAATCCTTGAAACATTTAATATGGAGTGCGATTTGACATGTTTGGCACATATATCTTGAGTGCGTATGGCAATATCTGCATCTTCGTCTTTTTCCATCTATAATTTTGGATAAATAATGTCCAGATGAATCAATAGGGTTTTCACATTGTAATGCAAACTGGCTGGCGTGACCTGTACTTGAATTTTTTTCAATTTTTACTGGCGTTCGAAGGAGGTAGTTAGTAACTTCTCGTCTAAATGCAAGCAAACTCTTCTTGTCATCTCGATTCACGAATTTCCAGATTTTCCATGAATTTACCAAAGCTACATCAATAAAATTGGTGAATATTGGCCACCACCATTTTTTTCCTCTTATTTTTATTCTATATGTAGATATTAGATTATCACATAGATCAACTCCACCCATGTGTTTGTTATAAGCAGTTACCATATTTGGCTGAGGAATTTTTATTTTAGAAGATATTTTCTTAGAATACCTTGAAACATTAGAAAGCAAAGAGATAGTGTGGCATGTCGATGCAACGGTCACCACCGAATTATCATTCCAACGAACTACAAATATTTCGTTTAATTTTTCAAACCTATAATCATAATATCCTCTTTCTTTTTTTGCTACAACCTTTATAGATTCAACTGGGCAATGCTCTATTCTATTGTTCCTCACAGTTCCAATTGCAAAATATCCCATTTGTTTTAAGTATGACAAGATTTTAAATGATGTAAAGAAATTATCAAAATATATTTTATGATAATTTGGTTTTTGCAATGCCTTTAATAATTTTATGATTACATTTCCACCTAATCCATATTCATATTTATTTTCGCTTTTTCCTTGATATATATCAAATGAGAATACGTAACCGTCGGAAGAGGCCAATATCCAAGACTTGTATCCGAATCTAATTGGTTTTCCTTTTATGAACATTTTGCAAGAATGTCTTCCTCGATATGGTATCATCTGTTCATCTATTGATAAATGATGTTTAAAAATTCCGAATTGCTGAAATTTATTATTCAATATATTAATGTAAGGCCTAACTTTATAAAATCTATCATGTATATCTATTTTAGTATTGTCTGCCAAATGGATATTATATTTCAAATTTCGAAATTGTAATTGGGTCATTGTATCCCGGATTATTGGAATAGAAATATCGCTGTCATTAGACCAGTACATTCTTTCTTGTGGGAGAGAATGATATCCAGTAAATAATAGAATTCCAATAAATCTCTGAATATCTTGGATGGTTATGCATATGTTAGGTCTATTCATTTGTTTAGCATAAATATTACTTTGTTCTACAATTAGGGAATATAAGTCTTCGTCGAAAATTAAACAAAATATATCTGATGGACTTTTACCATGTAAATCATTTTCAAGTTTTATTACATCTTCCTTTTCTCCATTGAAAGGGCTTGAAGAATATATTGCATCCGTTTTTCTCCATTTTAAATTGTGAGAAATTCGAGAATAGCTTCTTGTAGAATATGGTTCTGGAAGGTCGTCATCAACTGAATTATGAATCTCCAATTCTCCAGCTGTATCTGAAGGCAAAACTCCGACATTTGTTAAGTCATTTTCATCGAAATCTTCTTCATCACTAACTGCAGAGGGGTTTGGCGGAATTATAACCATATCTCTTTCTTCAATTGGTTCCTCTTCAAAAAGTTGAGCAAGCGCTTGTTCAATTGTTAGAAAACGTTTCATTAAAAAAATTTATTAAAAATTAAATATCTAGACAAATTATTTTCGTAGAATCTTGATTTTTTTATTAGTCATCTATTATTTTGATAATTTTGATTGAATTGACAAAACAGGTGCATAATATTTTATATAAATAAAATAAAATCTTCAGAAAGGAAGAGGCTAAAAATAATTTTAAACTTTTGAATATTTATGAACCTAATAATTTCATATAATTTGATCGGGATAAAAAATTATAATAGGAACAATATATGATTCGATTTAATCTCAGGGGAAAAAAATTTTTTTAAATTATTTTCAAAAGGTCTTTTTTGGGTATAAAATTTTTTTTAAAAATTCTTAAGGGGCTCGAGCCACCCACCCCTCCCCTTCCCACCCTTAGTGACGGTAGTGGTTTTAAGTATAATATAAAAAATTATAATTCATTATGTTAAATTTCATTTGTTTGAATTTTTTTAAATAATATATACTGCTAGATGGTTAACGGTGCATATATGCACCAGTCAACTTTATGTGGTTACCTACTAAAATATTAATTATTTAAAAATTCAAAAATGATTGATAAATATTGATATATCTATAAAGAATATATACACACTAGTTTTCATCGAAATAATTTTATAATATGCTCGTGAGATCACTTAGAAAATTTTGCATTTTAGACCTCATAAATTCGCAAAGTTTGAGGGTTTCTTAGGGGCATAAAAAAATATTTTTTTCATATTTTTCTTTTCCAGTTTTGAAGTACAATGTCTGAACTATATAAAAATCTTTTTTATTATTTTTAAAAAAAAACTACTATGTTAAAATAAGGTATATAGGAGGTGGTGCATATATGCACCGTTAACCAGTAACGGGTTAAGTAAACAATCGACTGTTCGTCGAGCTAGGGTTAATTCTCTGGCAATTCGGCGATTACTTTTACCACTTATGTATAAATTAATTATTTTGTATTTAGTTGGATTAGACATGTCTTTTCTTTTAATCATTTTGGTCGAATGTTCGTTAAAATATTTATAAAGACTGAAAGTTTCTTTAAACAATGATTTAAAACAAAAAAAAATCTAGGAATTTTTTTTAAAATGATTAAAAATAGGTATTAATAAGCAGATTAGAATGTGATTAATAACTTTCTTCCAAAAAACAATAAGCAACTTAAAATTGTTGGTGAAAAAAACTAATGAACCCTATTTTACCAAATTGGTAATTCTTGACATGTTATTTTCAAAGGCTAAAATTTCATAGAAATTCCGAGTTTTTTATTTCTAAACATGTATAGACATCTTAAATTAAATAATCAATTCGCTTTTACCCAAATAAGTTAAAAAGTTTTAAGTTATTAATTTTTTTATGTAAAAATGCAGGGTGGGCAGTCATTTATGGCCGGTAGTTTATATATATGTATATTTTATTATTAAAAATGATTAGCTCACTTACCTGCTCAACCCGTACCTCTCTCCAGAATAATTACACAATCACCTAGAAAAGACGACAATCATTGTCCTAATAAACTCAAGAAATCAGATAATAACAAAAAATTTGATCCTCAACCCTGCCCCATAACAAAAAGGAAAACCGTCATCAAATCCAAATCGGGCTTAAATTTGCGCAGTAGAGTTTCTGGATTATCTATTTCCTCCTTGAATCCTTCTAGAAAGAGTCGTTTTTCTAAAGATGATCTAGAAATTACTAGCGAGAGCTCATCTCATCTAAATGATTTTTCTAGCAAAGCTGGTATAAACACTAAAAATCAGGACATAATAGAACGCATAATGGGACGTTTGTCATATCAACAAATTGATTTCGAAAAAACGGAAGCTTTAAAAATTTTGTCGGAACAGGCATGAAATTAAGATCGAAAATAAAGCACGTCATTCATTTTTTTGCGTATCATGTTTAAATTGTGAATTTTATTTGGTTATATTTAGAAAGAATTTAAAACGAACACCGATATAATATGACCATTAAATTTGGATATATTTTTTATATTACTTTAGGAACGAAATTATTATAAAATATACTCTCTTTATAAAACAATAGAAACATTTAGATACACCCAGGTATTTATTTTTAAATATAATTTTTTCTCAAGCAAATATATTATTATTTTATAAGTCATTTTTAAATGCAATATTTATTATATTTCTCTCTTTCTTATAACTATATAAATATTCGCTATACGCAAATATTAGATATTAATGGCACATATATTAATTTAATTTAGGAAACCAATTATTTTAAATTATAATTTATTAAGATATAAAATCCTACGTTAGACATAATTACATTTTCTGAAATTTTCGTCGTATTATTTATAATATATTACAAATATGATTCTTTTGATCCACGTTATAATAATCTCGTAGAAATGTATTAAATTGAAAAATAAAATTAAATAGCTATAATCATAATTGAAAATTTTTTTGTTGTTCCTTTTCCCGCTTAATTTTGGCTAAATGTTTTATTTCCTGCCTCTTTTTATCGATTTCCAAAACCTCTTTAAGCATTTTTTGTCTGCGTTTCATCAATTTTTTCTCCTTTTCCATATCTTTCTCATTCATTTCAAATCGATCGCTATCACCATCAAATGTCGACGAAACTTCTGAATCTCTGTCCCCAGAATCAGTTTCAGGATAGGATTCTGTTGTTGCCAATTTTTTGTCCTTAGAGATTTTCTTACCGTCTTGGGGGTTTTCAATATTTAAACTCTCCTTTGGGGAAAAAAAATTTTTTTTTCAGTCGATGCATCCAAATTGTCAAAAGGTAAGAAAATAATATTGATTACTGCTTTATTAATAAAAAAAATTCAAAACCCGATCTGAACCGTTTTTTATCGATTGAGCACTAATTAATAAGAACAAAACTTAAAAAACTTTAGGATAATTAAAAGAAAAAAATATCTTAATTCAAAAAAAAAAATTAAATGGATATTTTAAGATAGGTCAGACAAAATATTATGTCAAAAATGTTTAATAAATGAATAGAAAAATCAAAATAAACTATTAGTTTTTTAATTCATTTTTTTTGTAAATGATAAATAAAATAAAACAAATCATTTTAATATATAAATTAGAGAATTCGTGATAATCAAATGGGCAAAAAAAGGAAGAATAGGAAAGAAATATATAATATTTTGAGGGTCTTTATTAATCATATATAGGCTGCTCAGCCCGGTAGAACTCTAGTATAAATACATTATAAATTAATGAATCAGTCATTTTTTTCAATTAATTAAACATAAATTTTAATTTAAAAAAAAACAACATTAAACCAAACCAGTAAAAATATTAATTTTACTTCTTTAAAAACTGAATCCGGTCAGATTTTGATTTTAACCACATTAAATAATAACTTACGTTTAAATTAAGGTATTTGATTATTCTTGCAATGGTATCACTTGGTCATTTTATTACGAATAGGCATAAAAAACGAGCTACTTTCAAAACGTATGTCATATCAAATGAAATTTTCTCTATCAGTTCTGGAGATATGAGAGTTTAAAATGTAAAAAGAACGCGTTGCTCATTTACAATATACATAAAAAAAAGAGATGACTTGAAATGTATTAATGATAAATACCTATATTTGGTGTCATTAGATAGCCTTTAAAGTATTCTATTTAAAACTAAAAAAATTAACTACCAATTCTAAAAAAGGTTAACAGTTAAAAATTTTTTTGAATATATATTTATATTGAGCAAGCTTTGTTGAAACTATTCCTGAGTGTATGTTCTTCTTCATCATATTCTATATTTGTAACGAACGAAAAATGTATGTTTAATATTATCTCTTGCAAACCTGACCTTTTTCTTAAGCGTTGTTCCTCCAATTATAGTTGTTAAATGGCTCGTTTTGAGCTGATTTTTAAAAACGACCAACTCAATATTTTATCCAGAAAAAAAAAGATTTAAAAAAAATTTCGTTGTATTATACGGCTGATTCATCATAAAAAAATAAGATATAATATTTTTAGTTCCAAAATTAAAATTTTTCTTGAAATAAATTAAAGGCGTTAAGAACATGTTTTAATGAATATTATATTATGCTTATAATTAATTCTTTACAAATTTGTTATAGTATGCGAGTATTGGTTGGATGGTTGCTTGGAAATCTGCCCAATAAAAATCTTGGGCTTCACCATGAATGAAAACGTTGTAATTCGCAGAGCATAGTAATATCAAGATATTCACTATCTTTTATAAATGAAGTGTTTTCGATTTTTTTCTATAAAAGATTTAATTCTACCAAATATAGGTCTTAATCATTTATATTATTTTTACATGTTTATTGCAAAATTGAGTGATAATTATTTTCTTTACATATAAAACTCTCACATCTCCCAAATAATTGAGCTTTAGCAATAAAATTTTGGCTGCAGTAATCATCACAACATAATTCTAATTTAATTTTTATTTTATTTGAAATACGTTGTATGAAACTATTCTGATTTCACCTGGAATGACTAGGCCATTTAATTTGAGAACCGCTAAATTATAAGAACTAGGATGTCATGGGTACCGATTATATTAATTGACAAATAGTAGTATGTTTTTGAAAAGGACTTCCATAATAAAAACACGCAAAGATAATAATATTTTTTAAAAATAAATAGATGACGCAAAAAATAGGTTATATATACCTCTGAAAAATTTCTAAAGGAGTGATCAAAAAATATGGTGAGTTTGTTCAAATCTTTCAAGTTATCGGGTGCTGTAAATATTTTGCAAACGTCTTTATATACACAGTTGATATCTTTGGAATTAAAAAAACCCCCTACAGAAGTAACGGGTTCCTTATTTTGATTCAGTAGCGACAAAATACGATTTTGAGTCTCGTTAGTGAGATTTGACGAATTTTTAACTACTTTCCGCTTTGATTTTTCTTCCCCCTTAAGAGCATCACCTGCGCGATGTACGTAGTATTTGCGATCTTTAATTTCCACGCGAGTAAGGGTGGGATTATAGGAATCGGAATCCGATGAATCGGTGTTTGACGCTTTGACCGAGGTGGAGGAAGATGGAGTTGTAGGCAATAATTTACGTTTCAGGGCTACAAAGAGTTCTTTCAAAGAAACAGGAGTTAAAGCCGCTCTAATTCTTTCTACGATCGTTTAAGAAATTAAAATATTGGAATATTGTAAGTAGAGGATAAAATCAAACATTTCGATATAAATATTGTTGTGGTCTAAACATTTAATAACGGTTTTTCTTTAATACTTTACAACTTCAAACTTAAATATATGAACCTAATGGAGGGTAAATGCCTAAAGAGATACACCTCCAGGTTGACAGTTCTCGCTACTAAATAAATAACATTGTCAAAAATTAAAAATTGAGATCCTGTATGGTGTGGGTCCTCGGATGTATTCCATCATGGTTGGAATACCTACTCTATAAATTTTAGACAATTTTGCCATAAACTTTTGAACTTAATTTAATTTATATTCCCGTTTCCATTACTTTTTATATAAATTATAAATGAATCAGAGGTTAAAGGCAAAATTGATTACAATTCATAAGATAGATCTTCTAAACCTACTAGAATATATTTCCAAAAATCTGATTTTTAAAATTAAAAAAAAAAGCTCTCTCAAAAAAGGATTCAAAGTTGAAAAAATAATACACGTAATAATTTGGCAAAATATTAATTTTTATAAGTGTAATATAGTGCAACCTAATTGAGCGTTTGCGTTTCATTGTGCAAAACGCAAACAATACGCGCCAATCGATTAGCGCTTATAAACATTTATAAAAACGCAAACTAGTTTGCTTTTTTTTGGAAAACTTTTAATTAGGTCGCATTATAATTATATTTTTTAAAATAATAATAGGCCCAAAAATATATCAATTGGCTACTGGCAATGTACTTGAATTGAACTCAATAAGATTTTAGCCAAAATTATTATTATGTAAGCCTCACCCTGGGTTAGCTGTTTTTAAAATCGAGCTGTTTAGCCACATTAGTCATGCCTTTACAGTCTCAGGGGGCTCAAATTTTTTAAACGTTTTAAAATTTAAAAATGACCTTTATAAATAAATTTCAGGGGCAAATTTTTCAGGACCCGAGCCCCTGTGCGCCTCCTCGCACCCCTAATTAGACTACTGGTTGGACTATAATCTATCAAACACCATGTAAATAAAGCAAATTGTACCACATAAGCAAATAAAGATAACAATATTTTACACAAATTAAATTACTATTTTTATTTAAATTTATGTATTTGTTAGCGGTAATGTGTTACTTTTCAACTTTAAATCATTTTTAGAGCTCGTTTTTTAAATTTAAAAGTGTGATTTTACGGAAATGTAGTCCATCATGTTAGGAATACCTACCCTATGAATTTCAGACATTTTTGCTATTAACTTAAGGACTTATTATTATTTATATTAGTTTTTCCATAGATTTTTTTAAATATAAATTATAAATGACCCAAAGGTTAACGGCATAATTATTTTCAATTTATAAGTTAGGTATTGCGGTAGAATCAGATTTTTAAATTTAAAAAAAAGCGATCAAAAATGATTTAAAGTAGAAAAAATAACATGTTGCCGGAAATATTACACTGCCGGTAACATATAATAAATATATAATTTTACTCGTGCTCTTGATGAATTAATAAACATAAAAAATTATTTAAAATGATTAAATATAATCTCACTTTTTGCCAAACTATGAATATATATGATAAAATTTTTTTTAAAAAAGTAAATAGTCTAGATAAATTGGGCAAAAATCTCTCTCAAATTAGATAGGTCTGACTTAATATTCTAATAAACTTGTATGCGAAAAGGTTCAAACAGGTTCAAAATGATTTTTTTCAGGTTTGACGATTATTCTTAGATTAAAATATAATCGATGTGATTTGTATTTAATAACTTAGCAAATTTATCCGTTTTTGCCAACTAGTAAAAAAGAGTAATTTTTATAAGGCGTTATATTATTTTAAATTACTTTACTTCTAGGCGATTTTTCAATTTTTTTCCAGGCATTTTTTGATACCATATCTTTGTCTACACCATCACCTCTGTCCGAGGTAATGAAGTCATCAGTGCTTAAATTTTGAAGATTTGTTTGTGAGCAAAATACATTGTACAAATTCAGGCATTCATTTGCTGTAACTATAAGTGGTAGACTAACATATGCTCCAAACTAAAATAATGTATGTAATAATATATATTAGCCCAAACTATGGCATCATCTTAATTTCATTTTATAATTATTACCATTTTTGCCTCTATTTTTTTAAATTTTAAACATATTTAAATGAATAAATTAAGATCATCTTAATTTAATTTCATGCAATTATATAACTCTTTTTACCTACATTTTTTATAAACATTAAATTAATAATATATTATATTTAAAAAAAACATACATAATATGTAAAACTATATTAAAATAAAAAGGCTTTTAAAAAATAAAATTCCTTGGGTTCTAATATAAGGACTCATATTATACCGCCAGTTCTTAGAAGAGATAACGATTGGTAAAAAAATATAGTATGTTAATTTAGAATATTTTTTTCTACGACTATATTAACCGATGAAATTATATTTTTTGGGAAATGATGAGACATGTGTGAAGTCCTAATTAAGGAATTAACTAAATAACAAGATAGATAAGTTAAACGATCTGGCCTAGAATGTTTTGTATTAGGGTCCTAGCAAGAGAAAGGCTAATAACTGAATTAACAACCATGTGTCTGCCTTGACTATATATACAATTAAAATAGTGTCTCCCTTTGGAATCAACCAATATTTTATACTTTTTGCATGTATGAGGTTGAACGATATATTCAAATCTGGTTGATATAGCCAAGAATTTTTTTTTTACTAAATTAACATTTTTTTAACCAATCGTTATCTCTAACCTTAGATATATGTCAAACAGAATTTAAATTTTTTATAAAAATATAGGAGGTATAAAAGAGCCTAGATTAGAACCCAAGGATTTTCATTTTTTAAAATAAAATATTTAAAATTACTTTGATAGTAATATTCATGTTTTGGGGACTTGTAGTCCCAATTCTGTTTTTAATAAATGAGCCCCTTTATATTTTTAATATAGTTTTACATATTATGCTATTTATTAATAGAAATATAATGCAAATATTTATGAATTTAATGTTTTTAAAAAAATATTTAAAAAAAAGCAAAATAAAAAAATTTAAGTGAATAAATAAGATTTTTAAAAAATCACTAAAGCAAGTAAGGATAAACTTTTAATTAGGTTGGAGCGTGAAGCTCTTTTTTTCTTTAGACTGTGTCCAAAACATCAAAATCAAACTTTCGAAACTTTAAAAATAAATAAATATGGTATTTAAATATAAAAATATCTCCAAAACATTATTCTAAAAAATTTCTATAAATTTCAAAAATTTAATATACAATTTCATTTTTTAAAACTTGCAAAAGTTTTGAAGCCTTTAATAGATTTGGACCATATTTAAATTAGAAATCTGTATATAGTATTAGTATATCAAAAATCAAAATAAACACAAGCTTTATTAAAATTCAAAGGCATTATTGCTATTCAAAAATTTGTGAAAATGAGATCTTTTTTTAAAAAAATTGATGATCCAATTTGATATTATTGGGTGAAATGTACATAACAGTTTTGTTTTTAGAATTTTTTATATTAAAAAAATATGGTTTTGCCAAAAATGTAACCAGTACATTATTTGTAGAATACCTATCATATAAATAAGCAATTTTGCTATGAAATCTGGTATTAAAAGAATTCTAAGCTGGAATATATTTTATGTGATCAGATTTTTAAGACACCAATTAAAAGTTGAAAAAAATTAGACATTGCCATAGAAATGCTAACTAACATATATTATTTAATTTATTATGTAATATGTTAAATAGAAATTAAGAAAACATAAAATTATTCAAAAATAATTTGATATTAAAAGATTACATAAAAAACATTTCAATTACTAACTTCAATTCTTGAACATTCTTTAACAATAAAATCCCAATTGAAAGGAATATATATTGATTTATCATTGGATGATAAATTAGCAGTAATTTGAATTTTGATGTCTTCTTTTAAAAGCTCATTACTTTTATCACTAAATAAGACTTTAATTTTTGGTTGATCTTTGGAGTCATTTTTTTCAATAACTAGCGTTTTTTTAATCTCTTGAAAAACTTGCAAATCTGAAATTTTTAAGAAAGGATTGAGTTTCTATATGCAAAATTTATCAAAAGATTAACCTGAATGAATAATATAGTTTATAATAACTAATTTTTATTTTTATCAATATTAATTTATTTTTTATATGTTTTTAAAATTATATACTAATATATTAAAATATCTTCAATTATTATTATATTAATATATAACAGGTTGTATGTTACCTTAAATCGTTTTAATAAAACATCATTGTTAAGCCGCTCTTTATACAAAGATAAAAAGTCTGTGATTAAAATAGTATATGTTGCATGATCATGATTATATTGAAAATATAAAGGAATAAAATTCTCAGACCCTACAAATAGTAACCGAATCCAATTTCTTTCCATATCTTATCTTAAATAGATTCAACATTTGGCAGAAATATAAACTATTGTGGCTGTCAGTCATATAAGAAATTAATGCTATCACTCATTCCATATGTCTAAAATTAACCCCGGTTGGAAATAAAAATAAGGATCTTAGTAGTTTGCATAATTAATTTGAAATAGTCTTCAGTACTCTACTGAGAGCTAGTCGAATCTGCCTCATGACAAATTTTTATGAAAGGACTTTAACATTAAAAGCAGGCTTCCCATTGGTATAAGATCAAACTTAGAACAAATATAAATAGTTTATATAAAACAATATATTATATTCTGATTTTAGGTTTTATAAATATAGTTTATTAAGGATGAATTTTTAAAATTATTAATTTTAATTATACAAATAATAATATTTGACAAATACACCAAAAAAAGTAGTGAGGAATTTTTTTTACCAGATGGTTTAAAACAAATAAAATGATCTTATTACACTTATATCTTTGCCTTTTAACCATTAAAATGTTATAATAATTTTTTTCATAATGGCCGCACTTGAATACAATTAAATTTTTTTTACAAAATCATATTTATAAATGAATAATTCGACATAAAAAACTATTATAATATTTAATCCATATTTATAAATTAATAATTTTACACATAATTTAGTTTCATAATTTTTTTACGATATGATTTTATTTTAAAATGTTTAATTTAGATTATATACCTTCATATATCACTAGTAATAGCTCTTATTCATTCAAAATTATTCCAAGAAATGAAATTATTCTTTGCTTATCTTATATAAAAATGAGATTCAAAATTATCATATTCTTTAATTATTTCCAGATGACAATATAATTCTGAAGCACTTTCAATTATACATCATATTTTATATATACATCATTTTTAATTTAATATCTAAATGGTATAATATTAAATTTATATCATTTTTAAGGGCTAAAATATGATAAAATAAAGAGGGAGAAAAAAAAATTCGATTTAAAAATAAGCACCAGATAAAAGATTTTGACTAAGATTTAATAACTAAAATGAATATTTTTTAAAATTATTTTATATAAAATATTCTTAAATAAGTCAAAGATATGATGACTTATATTTTATTATGTAAAAATATATAAGTGGCAGATTTTGAGAGAAATTTGCTGACGAAGGTAAAATTCTTCGTTAGGGTTCCCTGTGATCTGTCTCATTTTTTTCCCTATGGTTTTAATGAAATTGAGCTCACTTCCGAACATGCTTAAGGGAATGGTAACGATTGGTATGAACACTGTGTTGGTGTGGCCAGCATATTTGTTTTTAAGGACTTCTGTCTTTTTGATGGCAGAAAATGAGAGTTTGGACTTTCCTGCAAAATCGACACAAGCATATTCCCCGGTCAACGGGAAACCGTTAGTCCATGGAATGAGGGATATACTATTAGGGCATATGTTGTTTTCATTTGAAAGGTCCACTGGTTTGACGGTGGATGGGATATTAACCTTTTTGACGGCAGCTAGTAGAATGTTGTTGATTATGGATATATGGCGGGATTGTCGTCAGAGAACTAGCAATGCAAGCGATAAGGCATTCGATTCGATTTGATGGGTTAGCCAAAATTGATGCAAGTGGAGTGTACTACTTTATTAAAGTCAAGGCAAAAGGCCAGGGATAAACGTAGCTGTTTGCCAGTCATGAGGAGGCTAAGATTGGAACTGGGGATGGCTTCCAACTATTCACAGCCTGAGTTAGCATTTAATATTATGTTAGTGAGATTATCTTCAAAAGGCCTATTCTAAATTAGGTATTCACCAGGAGTAATCAAAGGATCAGTGTTGTTAAAATAGCGCGCTACAATAGCGCGCTACTTTTTTCAGTAGCGGTAGCTGTAGCGGGCTACTTTTTTCATAAAATAGCAATAGCGGTAGCTCGCTACTTTCAATTTTGCATGATAAATACATCTAAAAATTATTAAAATACAATTTTTAATAAATCTAAAATTATAATCCTTTTATTTAATTTAATTTAAATTTATATTTAAAAATATACATTATAAATCTAGCTAGCAATATAAATCTAGTTATTAAAAATGTGTGAGATTGTTGAAGATAGTGAAATTTCTTTGGAAAATGAGAAAAATATAGATTATCCTTTCCCAAAATTTTAAAAATACTTTAATCTTGAAGAAAAATTTGCTACTGGATAACAGATGTCGCAAAATTTTATCTTCAAATCATACAAGCAGCTTTAATTTGAATAAACATTGCATGTGATATTATGTTTCCACACTTAGTATATTAATTACCAAGCTCAGAAGAATCAATAATCTAAATTTTTGCCAACCACTGGTAGAGTCTATGCTAAAAGGCATTAAAAGGTCAAAACAAAACTTTATTTTTATTTTCTATTATACAATTATATAAATGAATAATTTATTGCTTGATTAGCTATAATTTAAATTGGCTTAATTTAAAACAATCTATAATATTAATATATTGTTAATATTAATATATTGTATTAATATAAAATTCAAAATTAATATATTATTAATTACCTTGTGCATAATATATTAATTATATTTTTAAAATCTTTATTTACCATAATTTAATGCTATTTTATTATTTTTTATAAATGAAACTAAATGTCAGATAAATTTAAATTTTGAAAATTAAAAAGGTATTCTTTTTTTTATAATAAATACAATCGCTTTATATAAATTAGATTTCCAGATCTGTATGATGATGATAATGTAATAGCTGCTATCGTTCACCCAAGTTTCAAGTTAAATTGGCCATACATTAATTTGACTGAATCTAAAGGGCAACTGGATAGGCTGATGGTAACGTTAAAAAATGTCATGTCTAACCACGATACTAATACTATAGCAAGATCAAAACCGCAGCCTTCCATAGACGATTTTTTAGAAATAAATAATAATAATAATATTATTGAACCTCTAGATGCGTTTTTTAAATCTAAAAATACTCATTTAAATATTTTTGATGATTTTTTTCATATAAAAGTGTGTTTATTAAATTTAATACTGCGTTGCCCTCAAGTGCTAGTGCTGAACGATTATTTAGTATGGCAAAGCTTATACTTTCTGATCGTCGCTCTAGACTTGGGGATGACTGTACCGAAATATTATTATTAAAGTGCAATAATAAATAAATTATATATATATATATGTAACAAATTATAGTCATGTTTTTATACCAATATTTTATTTGTGGAAATAAAGTTACTTAAAAAATATATTTATAAAAAATCAAAATAACGTAAAAAGTAGCTAATAGCGCCCTACTCAATTGAAAATGATAGCGGTAGCGATAGTGCGCTACTTTTAAAAGTAGCGTTTAACAACACTGCTAAGGAGCAACCCAGTCTTTTTGAATTCTGGAGACAGGACAACAAGGGTAGACAAGGTGTTGCTGTCCCAAAAGGTAAGGCCTGGAATACGGGATGAAATATAGGCTGAAAGAGAAAGTTATAGCGGGAATCGGATACTAATACCATCTGACTTGTTAGGGATGGTGGCCTGAAGCCTAAATGAGTCGGAAAATTTTATGCTCAATATATTATCGAGGAGACCCTTGATTTAAATTTTATGGGAAACTAGCAAATCACTGCGGTAGATCGGTGGATTTCAGGACATAGAAGAATTTGCGAATATTAAAATATTTTTAAAAAAAAATACATTATAAGAGATATGGAGATCCAGTGGCCCATACAGTTTCTGAGCGATAAAAATGGAATACCCCCCCCCCCTCTAAAAATTCCCTTACCTTCTCTCCTACTCTGAAAAATATCCTTCATAAAAAACAAAATTACTTCCTCAATTATAAATGTTAATAATTTTTATTACATCAATCTTTAATATATAATAATAACAAAAATGTATATGTCAAATTTTTTAAAATTATAATAGACAAATTAGGGAAAGTGAAAGCGAAAGAATTTATAATTTCGTCAATATTTAATTTGTTTAGATAAATTTGTTCTGTTGATAAAATGGTTAATTCATAAAAGGATCTTTCATGGGACTACGATTGTTTTAATAATTTTAATTTTACTCATGAGCTTTTCAGAAGGGAGTACAGGAGGTATTAGGAATATAATAGATAATTATATATTGATAAATTAGAGAAAGCAAAAAAATTAGTAAGTAAACGATAAGGTAAAATAAACAAGTATATTTTCTATTAGTCATAAGTTGAAAAGAAGAAGCTAAATAATGTATTATTATAAATGTCTTAATAAAATAAATGTACAACTCTCAGAATTTGACGTCAAATTCTTTAACCCCTAGGTCATGTGTAATAATTACATCCTCCTCTCCTTTTTAGCCATCATATAAATTTTAAAACTTAAATAATTCTTCAAAAACTTGACACGAATTCAAATACAGATATTCTCGATATCATCTTTAACAAATGTCTTTTCTACCATTATCTTTCGATTAAAATGTTTTATTGATTCATAATCTGTCATTAAACTGCATTATTATCAAATCAAGTACAACAAAAAACACACTGGTTCTAAAGCTAAAATAAAATATTATATGTAATAATGAAAGTATATATACCTTTCCTTTTGGATTGTAATGTTTGAAGCCTAGAATTTCCAAAATCAAAAGGTATTTCTCCCCTTCATAAAATGCCAAAAGATTCAAATTTAATATCAGTATCTTATAAGATTTTAAAATGATACAAGACAATAATTATTTAAATTATACATTTCAATTAATCAGGCAATCCTTTGACAATTGAAATTAGTTTATTGCAAACCCTATTCGATATGGTTTGCAATTTTGTAAAAGCCAAGCTTGACATTATTTTTCCCTAAATACAAAGTGATAAAATTATAACTAAATTTTTCTATTTTAAAAACTATAGCACTGATCCTGGAGAAATGACAGGATTTTCAGAATCCTTCAAAATTGTTAAAGCTGCCCTCTAGGAATTATCAAGTAGAATTTTTTTACAATAGCTTTATATGATGATGGCCAGCTTCCATAAATACTAAATAAACATGT